TTATTGATCAGCTGCTTCCTGCATACCGTATGGGAAAACAAATCCTGTCCTCCTAGGTATCATATAATCAGTATAGGACATGCACTGTTGTTGAATTAAATAATATAAAAAAGTTTTGACCACTAAAATATAAAATAAAAAATGTGTATATATAGCCTTCCACTTCGTCTCCTAATAATCTTGAAATACCTTTATAGAAAAACAAAAACAAAAACAACACAACTATACAAACTAAGACATCACAGAAAAAGGAGAGAAGAAAAAGCACGCAAAAACTTGTATGGCAGGTATTAAATGTGATACTTGTCTTCCTCTGACTGGCTTATTTCACTTAGCATAATACTCTCTAGGTCCACCATGCTGTCTCAAAGAGTAACAAATTCTTTGTTTTTACAGATGCATAGTTGCATAGTCCACCTGAAATATCCTTTTCCATGCCTGCCATCTTTGCCATATTATTTCCTAATCCTTTTCAACATTTGGTTCAAAAGCCACTTTCTCAGAGATACCTTCCACTTATTTTTTCTAATTGCACCGTATGATTTTTTTTTATTCTAGTATATTTTTCTTATAGCATGTACTGCACTTGCCAATTATATAAATGCAGTCTCTGAGTTTCCTTGTTTAATGCATATATCATCTACTAAGTTGTAAACTCAATGAGTACAAGTGTAATGTCTTTTTTCAAAAAAATACTTCTATATAACTATTGTTTAGCATAGTATCATACACAGGGTCAATTATCAATAAATGTGTTAAGTAAATGAATGCTTTGATAGTCTATACTCAGGTTGTAGCCACTAGCCACATGAAACTATTAAAATTAAACAACATTAAAGTTCATTTCTTCAGTCATGCTAGTCATATGCCAACATGAATAGTCACATGCTACTGTGTTGGGGAGTACAGATGTGGAACATTCCCATCAGCACAGAAAGTTCTACTGGACAGCACTAGTCTACAACAAACAATTAGTAGAGTGGTGATAAATTAAGAACCTCTTAGACAGCAATACTTTGATTCTATCTTAGAAATCTCTCTTGAACTTAACCATATATCTTCATTCCTACTATCTTTAGAAAACCACCTAACATGTCTCCCAGGCACAAATATTTCTCAATCCAGATGCATTCCTGAAATTATTGCTAACTATATACTACCTATCAAGTTACTTATCTGCTAAACACATTTATAACTTCTCATTGCCTACAGCATAGAGTTTAAACACCTTAACATAGAAACAAATTTTCTTATCTTCCAACTTACCACCCCAAACTTAAATGCATTGCTTCCATTTATACCCTTCAGTTCCACTTGCACGATTTCACTATTTTGGAAGCAAAATATACTCTGTGGCAATGATGCCTAAAATACCTGTCGCCTCCCCTTTAGGACACTTTTTTTTTTTTAGCTTCACTGAATTGCACGTAGATTTCTTAGCTCTAACCTCTACTACATTATATTGAGATTATCTTTTTATATCTCTGTTACCCTCATTGTTCTATAAGGTTTTAAAGAAAAGGGATAGAAGCTTGCGTATTTCCCAGTGCTTAGTAAACTACATTTTGCATAGAACTTATATTTTATTGTTGTTGAAAAAAATAAAATAGTGAATAAATGGGTTATGAAATTTAAAAAGATTCCTCTTATTCTGTAAATGATTCTTTAGTCATTACTGTATTATCTCAACCTCCTTTCAAAACCCCCTTCCCATCAATCACTATAGACTACTCAGTCTGAAAAGAAAATGAGTGACAAGTCAATAAAACCACTTCTACTTTAGTTTAGGAGCTGAAAAATTGAGGAGCTCTTGAACTATCAATAGTTTTCCATTGGGCTGAAATTATCCATTAAAAATTAAAATGAACAACAATTACAGCAAAAACAACAAAACCTGAATATTTCCAAATAAGTATGTTGTATGGAAAAATCCTGGTGGAAAAAAGTAATATAAAGAACTCACAGGTTAGTGAAAAGCTCTGTAAACTCAGTACAGTATACACAGTTAACTTAGTTCTCTCTAACATGATCTCTTTGTTCTGAGATCTTTGCTTATATGTCAAACTTAGATGCACTCTGTTATTTATTACTTGTTGAAAATAGAAAAACAATCTTATGCTAATCAAATGGGAGTTAAAAAAAATAAACAATAAAGAGCAAGATATTCCAAATAATGTCAGAATAACATTTTTTATGTGAAAAACGTGTAACAGCAACAAAGATGATGCTGACTTTGTTCATAATTTAAATGGAATATCCCATGGCTGACACTTAAAGTCTATATTATATTTTTAGTAAATAATTTTACAAATGGCGCAACCAAATTTATTCTTAATATATTTTTCCACCTCTAAGGTTATATTTCATTATATTATAGTAGCAAAAACATTTCTCAACATCATAAATTAATTTATATCAACTAATTGGATTAAATCTATCAAAAATAAGTATTGCACTATTAAACTTTTTGTTATTTTGCAGGACGTGACATTTTAAAAAGATTTTTCATCTTGTCAGTGAAATCTCCATTGAGAAATACTCTTTTTTTGCCACACAGTAACCCTAAATTATTAAATAAATTTGAAGCTATGGCCAGGGTGCATTACAATTGAGAAATTACAAAGAAAGCATTTAGAACCAAATATTGTAAACATTTGACCAATAGATCATATGTGAAGTGGGAAATTCAAAAGATGGTATTCAATTAAAACAGAGATTGAATGGAGATACGCTAATGTGAGAACCTCTATTATATCTTTTTTTAAGAAAACTCATCCATCACATGTCCTTATTTGATCTCACAATTTGTTAGCTTTTCATCCAAAAACAATAGCATGTCAAAATCTTGCTGTGTGGCCTCAGAGGTTTTGTGGTGGGAAGACTCAAGTATTAGAATTCTCTCTGCCTTTTCAGTTTTAGAGGACTTTGTTCATAGTTTAAATAAAATATCCCCGGGCTGACACTTAAAGTCTAGTCTGCATTTTTAATAAAGAATTTCATATATAAATGGAGCAACCACATTTCTTTTTAATTTATTTCTCTACCTCTAAGATTAACTTTCAGCATATTGATAGCAGGAAAAAGATTACTCAACATCATAAATTAATTTTCACCAATTAATTGGATTAAATGTACCAAGAAATAAGTATTGCACCAGTTTATATAGCATACAGTTGTTACACAAGTTAATCAGAAAGTGACTCTGAAAATACACTTAATTGACTGCAATCCTCATGACTTCTTTAACATAGCTCACTTAAACAAATGCTGTCAGCCCACCGCACAGCCTTTCAGGGTCAGGGTACTGCTGTTAAAAAGCACGCTTCAGCACACCAACACACTAGCAATGGCCATTCATCTCCAGTCAAGAGGCTTCAAGAGAAATTGCTGTGAATTCTTAGACTCTGAAATAATAAGGATGTTTTTTAGAAAGTCTGTCCCCTGGGGAGAAAGGGATCAGTGGGTGACAGCATTATGGACTAGGCCACTCAGTAAAGAATCACCTGTGCTCACAAGTTGGCCTCACTCAGAAGTCATGTTTGCATTAGCACTTTTAAGTGCAGTGATGGTTTGCATTACTGTGCCTGGAAGTGTTCAAAAGCCTGAGGACGAGGACACAGTTTGAGACAAAATGGTAATAGGCTCAGATAGATGGGAGAAAACAAAAAGTTTGTAAAGACCTCAGCAAGCTTCGGTGAATACGGATTGGCTTAACGGCTCTCCCACTTAATAACTGAGTTAATACTGGAAGTGCATATCTGTTTAAGAAAAGTGATTTTGCTTTGCCCTGAGGCAGTGGGTTGGAGTGTTGTCCCATACACCAAAGGGTTCTGGGTTTGATTCCTTGCCAGAGCATGTAGTGTATTTAGGTAAGGGGATTCAATCCTCAGTGGAAGTGAGTACAGGGGGCAACCGAAGGATGTTTCTCTCTCTTTTTCTCTTCCTTCCTCTCTCTCTAAAAGTCAATATAAAGCATGTACCAAAGTGAGAATTGAAAAGATGAAAGAAAAAAAGGAAAAATTATTTTAGTTAAGATAAATCCGACTAAAAAAAAATACACTAAAGTCATAAGTAGATCCAGTAGCATTATTATTCTACAAAGCTTGCATTCACTCAACTGAGATCTTTAAATAAATGTTTTTAATTTATTTTAGAGAGAGAGGAAGGGAGAGAAACAGAGAGATAGAAACACTGATGAGAGAGATACATTGATCAGCTGCCCTCTACTGGGGACTGAGCCCAAAACCTAGGAATGAGTGTGCCAGAGAATCAACCAGTGAGTTGATGCTCAACCACTGCAACAATGAGAGCTTTAGTGACACAAAATAGAAGTGTCTTATAGAGTCTCTGCATTTTCCTATAATTTACATAAAACAGCAGTACTAAAAAAACTAATTATGTTCTTCAAAATAATTATAGCATTTTTATTTGTTTGCTCTTTTTTTTCTTTATTTCATTTTCTTTCAGAACCAAATCTAGATTAATGTTCTAAAAAATTATTATAATAATACTAGAACCACATTTTCAACTTATTTGTCCCAAGTAAATATATATAATTTTAGATGTGTGATGAGATCTGTGTTTTGATAAAAAATACACGATATGATTTTTTTTTTAGTATTTAACTTTCTCTAGGGCTTATTAAATTGCTTTCAATTTTTAAATCAGATTATTTCATGTGTAAGAACATTTTAATCTCCACAAATTAGGACAATGCAGTGATTTTACTTGAATATCAATAATTAGCAAAGGGATATAGCATAAGTGAAAGGAGCGAGGTGAGAGTCTCTCAGGCACTAGAAAAGGAAATTGAACATTGGAAAAGCTGAATCATTCCCCCCCACCACTTTTTCCTTTCGGATCTCAAAAATTATACATGTAAGATAGTATGAATATATTTTAGCACTTGTTAATAGTGGACATTAACTTTTACTTCCCCATTTCATGGGTAATTGTTCAGACACATACATGCATGCTTAGGTAAAATAAATATATCTTGCCTTACAAACTCTTCCAACTCGAGAAAGAATCATCTTATCTGAAGTACTGCCTTCTTGAGATGATTCACGAAAGAAGAAATATATCTTATCATCATCTGGATTATAGGTGTCTGGTATGGGGAAAGTCCCAATAAATTTGGCACCTGTTTGAAAGAAAAGAAGCTATAAATTAAAATACTGAAATAATTTAGCCACAATACTATAGGCATCTTCTGAATGTAAAACAATTAGCAGAATTTAAAAAAAATGAACCATGAGTGGAATGTGGGGAATGAGACACAAAAAATAAATATGATACCCATAGAAACATGTATTCACATGAAGAGGTTCTGAACAAGTTATCTAGGAACTCTAGAGAGCAGGTGAGAACATGACTGGCTGATATAATTTTTGCACCTCGACTAAATTACTTAACTTACCCTTTCACACCTAAAGATTCTATGACTTATGTTCTTTTATATGGTGGAGTCACTGCTTTTTAGCCACAATAACTATCATAAAAAGCTTAGGAAAAACTAAAAATGTATCCTAAATTGTGTTATATTAGGACATTATTTGGTGCATTTTGTGTAATTTCCAAAATGAAAAAACAACAAATAGTGTGTGGATCAACTCCAGTGTAGGCTTTGATGACATTCTCTCCAGGTTCATATCATGTCTTTGCCACCTACTGAAAAGATGAATTTGGGCAAATGATTTATTTTCTCCATGCCTCAAGATACTCACACCTGATAGGAGACTACTGATACCATCTACCTACTTGGATAACTGATACCATGAACTAATATATATAAAGTACTTAGTATCTGACAGTGACTGACACATAAGTGTTCAGTAAATGTTTATTGTTAAGATGATGATTATGGTGATAATCATTATTTTTATTAGGACCACAAACCAGAAAAAAAAAATGTGCACATCCAAGCAATTATTAGTAGGGGCTAATAATGAAATAGTTCTAAAAGTGCTACATGGAAAGATGTCTATAATACATAGTAGGTGGGAAAAACACACACAAAAAACATTGGCAAAACTTTAAACCCTTTGCATTGCACTAATGACAAGTTGAGTTATTAATTTCGTGTTTATAGGCATTTTAAGTCCTAGTTGTATATCATTGTGAATTAACCAGGTAACAGATCTGTAACTGGGAGATGCTAGTTCAGAAATAATCCTTTTGACTAAGACAGTAGTTGAGAAATAAAGAAAGGACTTCAGGTAAATGGAAAATACCAGATACCTGGAAGGAAGTACAGAGCATTGTTCAGGGAATAGAAGCAGTAAACAAGAGGAGATAACTGTCCACACCACATACAACACAGAAGAAAAGAAGAAGAAAAGAAGAAGAAGAAGAAGAAAAGAAGAAGGAGGAGGAGGAGGAGGAAGAGGAGAAGGAGGAGGAGGAGGAGGAGGAGGGGGGGGGAGGAGGGGGAGGAGGAGGAGAAAAAAGAAGAAGAAGGAGAAGAAAGAAGAAGAAGAAGAAGAAGAAGAAGAAGGAGAAGAAATAGGAGGTAAGAAAGATCAACACTGCCTTCTCTAGAGATTTGCCCGGGATCTAATTGTGGTGCACCCTAGGAGACTAAAAATCATTCCCCGCAAATGCAGAGCAGTTCAATAGACAAAAGTTAATGTTTAATTCCAAGTAATGGGCAGTTTAGTCTTTACCATCCCAGCTCTCTAGGTCAGCCCTGGTCACCCATCCAACTGTTTCTCTGAGAAGCGTTGAGAGAAAAAGAAGGATGGGGAGGAAATGGGCACCAACTTCTCCACTTTGTTCTTTATTATTCCCTATTCTGTTCCTGGAATTTAGAACTCCAATGTATTCCTATGCTCCTCATAATCTCACTTTCATGTGACCCTAGATTATACAAAAGTTAAATTTTAGAAAACTATGTAGGATGCTTTAAATTTTCTTTTCTAATTAATCTTAAATTAGTAAGGTCCATTAACAAGTCCACTCAAGGTGTTATGATTTCCCCCCTCCAGCTGTCTTTTAAATTATTGATAAATTACAAACACTTGGTTTTGAATTTCTGAGCAAAGTAAAAGTTCTTTTTTTGTAACAAATTAACACTTCTCATTTTTTATTTAAATACATATGTTTCTTTAAAGAAACAAAACTCTTTGTGGAAATAAATTTTCCTACAAATGCGGTATTAAGATTTCAGCTAATTCATGAAAATGAAAACTATTTTTAATTACTACTATGTTCAAGTCACTTAGAACAAGAAAACTGGTAGAATCAAAGAATGTAAAAATTAATAAAACTAAAGCTTCACTTTAAACCAATTACAATCTAGATTAAGGAGATATTAACATATGTCCAGGATATATGGCTATGAAGGCCCATCTTGTTTCCAATGACTTAAAAGGGGGGGTGAGACAATATAGGCAGAGAAAAGACAACCAACTGTGGGCTCCCAAATACACAGACTAGACATTAATGATTATCTACATAACTTCTTTGAATTTGCAGATGTCTCAATGCAATGTCCAGGCACTGGATGAAAATTTCCAGTTGCATTGGCATGTGTATTTTTAAAATATATTTATAGACAAAAATAAATAAAACTATATAGGTGATTCTTATAAGGATCTAAGATTAAGAGTCAAGGACATAGATGACCATTTTATATATATACAACAGATAGTCTTATTGTGTCTATTCAGTGACTTAGTTTTACTGGTTTTATTGAACTCTCTTTTGAATGATGATTATTTTTCTATAAGAAAACTGTTTTGGAGTACTGTAAGAAAATTGAATAGTGGAAGTGTTTAAGCCAAATGTTTACTAAATGAAGAAATGTAATTAGGGGGAAAGAGTATCAAATAGTACTCTGTTCTGCGATTTAAACAATATGCATATTTATGAGTTGAAAATATACACATGTTTCAAGAATAAAGAGTTTCTTTTTTGCAGATTCAATTGCGGTCCTGTCTTAGAACATGATGTTAGTATTTCTTGATAGAAACTTTCCTGACTTGCTGCCTAATTTGGGTAAAATAGGTATCATGTAATCAGGATAGGACCTTTCTGTTGCTCAATTAAATAATATAAAAATTATACCAAAAGACACCTGGGCTTTATTATGCCACATTTTCCCTCTTTGGCATCTGAAACACATGTCGTAATAGGGGTGGAGTTCGTACTCATGCATTTTCACAAATGAACTTTTAGCATGACACCAAGAGTTATTGCCAAATGAAGAAGGAATAAATCCATATGGCCTGTATTACACATCACTTTCATTTCTCCCTCTGAACCTCTCACCCAGATGAGCTCACCTACACAATGACAACCTAAATGACTTTCTTACTTTCTTTTACTTATCATAACATCTTTTTCATAAAAAATGTTTTTTTGTGTGGAAGGAGAATTTATAGCCAACAAAGCACTCCCAAAGAAACTGCAAATAAAAACTGCCCCCATATGTTAAAAAATGCAAAATTAAAACAAAAGTTCTACTTTACTTCATGGGAGGAAACAAAAACATATGCAACTGAGGCAACATCATTTGTTTTCATTTTCCATACTTCAGCTATAGTAATTAGGCTGTTTCATTAACTGTGTTAGGTCCAGTGCTAAGGAAGAAACTGAGCTTTAGCCCCATAATTGCTACCAAAATAGGAGTCAAGCTTCCGAATTCAGGAGACCTGATATGCCGCTCTAGTCAGAAGCTGGATTGTAATGGAAAGATGGCTCTGGTACTTAGGAGACCTGGACATATCCCTTCTTCACACTGAATCTCCATCTGTGGAGTATGAGGTTGAATAAGATAATGTCTGCGATAACATTCATTCCCAGTAATCAGCACATTTTCTCTAACAATAAATGTGCTTTGTCCTCACCACACTGCTGACACCAGCTGATGACCCCATGACCTGTCTTTGGAACCTAGACTGACTACAACTGAAAAATGGCCACTTCTCATAACAGAGGACAGAAACTCTCCCTAAGCAAGCTGATCTTTTTTAAGCCTTAGCATGCCAGGTACGTGCTCATTATAAGAATTTCATATAGTTTCTGTGCTTTCTCCCTTGCTCTGTCCTAGTTTTCATGGACCGAGAAACTGACTAACTGGTTCTTTTGAAGCTCTCACAGTGCTCTTCTAACTGCAGCCTGCTTGTCCCTCAGCAAACCTCTGACGTAATGCTCACACTGACTAGACCAAAATGATGTAAGAAACAATAAAATAATGACATATATAATATGTCAATAAAATACTGAACATATTATAAATTGTATTGAGATAAGGTGATGGAGACCTATAGGAAGATGAAGCCAATGGAAAAAAGAAAAAAACAAGGTCAATATATATTTTGAAGGAAGTAAAGATCCTTATCAAAACATTAGATAAAGGGTGAGAAGAGGAAGGAATCAAAGATAATTTCAAGGTAACTGGGTGGATGAAATTAAGAAAGTTAAGACAGATAAAAATCAGGAAACTGGTAATGAAAGATAGGCTACAAAGGGAAAACATGATCATTTTAAAGTTAGACTCATAAAATTTTAGATTTTAGACACAATAATCTCTTATATACGTATTTCTACATCTCTATCTACCTATGTACATATTTGAGGAAACTCAAAGTGTCACTAAACAACTTGTAAATATTTCAAAGCACTTTTGTAGTATAATCAAGGCTAAGGCTTAGATATCTTTACTCCCATATTAAACAACCATTTCTTCTCATCCGAGATGGAAATATAAGATATCCAAATAAATATTTTTAAGGGCACTCAGTTCTAAGAAAAGGATGGAAATATAGTCTTAGGAAACACCAGAACACAAGAAACAATTTCACAGAATTCAGCACCCTGTGAATACTTTTATTATTCCAAATTTTCAGACAAAAAAAGATTTGACCAAGGTCACAAATAAGTGATGGTTAGTATTTAAATGTAGGCAACTAAATTATACATAAACAGCTATAATTTTTATCTAAAATGGGGCACATTTGAGAGTTAAAGAACATATTAAAACTGGAAATATGCAGGCAAATCAGGTCATATGGCACTCCTGTCATTAACCACTAAGCAATCTGCCACGAATGCTCTAGAACCATAAATGTTCTCCCTCAGTCTTAATCATTGCCTACCTTCAATCCATTGAATCCTTCTGTGGTGAATATTTTCTCTTACCTCCAATTTCTTGCTTTCTGATGACTTCAATTGCCATTTTCCCCCACTATCCAGAATGTTCTCCTGAAATCTCCCTCAAATTCTTCTATTCCCAAACAAATAACTTCAACTTCTAATATTTATTTCTGTATATTTTCATGTCCACCTCTACTGCCACTACCTTTGTTCCTATTCCATCCTGATTTCCTGCTTTTGTTCTCTTATCTTTCTCTGTCCTCATTCTCCTCATACAATTGTCAGTTACTGTCATCAAAAACAAAGATCTGATTCTCTAATTAATATCAGGGAATGGTGTACGGGGTTCAAAAGAAACAACCTTCTAGTTAAAAAAATATGAGCTTTGAGAATGTAAAATATAGCATGGTGACTATAGTTAATAATATTCTACTACATAATTTAAAGTTGCTAAGAAAATAAATCTTAAAGTTCCCATGACAAGAAAAAAATGTGTTATGTCTGATGATGGATGTTGCTACACTTACTGTGGTGATCAATTTATGATATATACAGATATAGAGTCATTATGTTGTATACCTGCAACTAATATAATGTTACTTGTCAACTATTCCTCAAAAACATAAACTATAAATTAAAAGATAGATAACTTCTCATTGGTTTATGGATATTTACAGTTTTCTAGTTTCATATCCCACTCTCCTCTTATGCCTCAGGTATTTGTCCTGCCTGAGGTTAGCAACCCTCCTGCATAATCTTTTCAGGCCCAGTGTATAGAATAGCCAGTAGTATGTCATAGGCTGTCAAATGGTGTTTATTAAAAGAATGTTCAACCAATTCACTTGATCTTAGCCCAAAGGTCAAGAAGTGATAAAAGGTTCAACCAACTCAAAAGCTTTCTATTTTACCTGCTCTCTCCACACAGCCCAAAGAACAACCCTGCGAGGCAAATAATAGTTGAATAAATATTTCCTATATTTATTGTTCTAGCAGTATTCAGACTTCTTTATGGGCATGTCACAGTTAAGAAAAAGAATGGAATAATCTTTTAAATGGCAATATAATGATATTTGCCACCCCAAGACTGGAAAATACAATCTAATATATTTCACTTTAAAGCCTTAAGTATATCTTGTTACCAAGCAGAGGACTAAACTTTTCTTTTGGTAAAATCTATGGAGTTCCTCTCAAATCAAGTATTTCCACAAAACCTCACAAGGCTCCAGAAGAGAGTGTTGAGAAATAACTTAATTGGGGATATTCTAAACTGTGTTACCTAATAATGGGTTCTATTTTGGTCAATGAAATTGACATTGTTGTATAAACAAATGGATCTGGAAGTTTTGACTAAATAAATGTTTTTCCCTTTTGTTTATATTGTCACTCCTTGAATGACATAAAGATATAGAGAGATAGCCCCTAGGAAGTTTTTACCCTGGCCTCCTCCACTAAAACCCAATATTTATGGTGGGAATGAGAAATGCTGCTTGCCTGCTTAGATAGCAATGTTATGTTATTCTTCCATGCAGCAGAATAATTCCTATCAATGATAAATCCTGACTTGTTGCAAGGCAGTAGAAAAAACAAAACAAAACAAAAAAAAACCCTTGCATTGTTCCTTGAATTAAATAAATATATTTAGGCTTTGTTTTTGGGTTTTTTTTTGTTGTTTTTTGGAGAAGTTTGTTTTATTGAAAACTTGAAATACTGTATGATCTGCAAACAAAAAAGGAATGAAACTAATGACAATATCAACATGCTTAAAATTTTGGAGGGATATGTATTAACCAAAACATAAATTATCTTTAAACAAAAGAAGTTAGCATTATAATCAAACCCCTTTTCAATTCACTCATAGACAGACTTTGACTTAGTCATCAAAAGACTACAGGAGAAAGATTGCTAACTTTTAGCCTAGCTCTGCAGCTTACAAATTGTAAGATCTTGACCAAATTATTCAACTTCTCTCTATCTCATCTTTAAAAATTTATACTCATTAAATATACCTCACAGGTCATTAAGAATATTAAAAAATCAATTAGAACATAGGAATGTCAAGGACAACAGCACACACTCAATAATTGTCAGTTATTATTATTATATATGCAACATGCATAACTTAGTGAGAAATTATTTCAAACTTATTTTAAAACATTGAACTAAATTGCTTATCCCAAAACACATCTGCATGAATAATAATGACTTTCTTATCTCTCCAAAAGCAAGGCAAAACAATCAAAAGTGAGAAAATCACTAACCATTGAGCCAGTAGTGCTCTGAAATGTCAGTTCTGATGTAATGATGGTCTTGAGTAGGCCCGAGGGACCGCGTGAATGCGGTATCTTTGCCAAGGAAATCAGAAGCTGTTCCAGAGTAGAGGTATTCATCTGGGTGGGAGAAAAGAATACATAAGACTTCTAAGAGTTTACCAGCAGTACTATTTACAATATACTAATTTCGCAGCATGCAGCCAGAGATGTTTATTGCTCAACATCAGAATATATTGATGGTTAATTCATAAATTTCACATTCAGATTTTGAAAAAATTGTTTAAAGAAAAGATAACTCTGTAAACATTGGTTATCTGATGTTTTAAGAACTGTACATGTATTGGCTACTCTTATGAACTAGCTCTTCCGTCCCTTCTCCTCACAAATAATTCAATGGTGTATCATAATTAGGAGCTTCTCATTGTAGCAACACAAAGGAATATTAAAAAGTAAATGCCATAATGAAGAATGGATTGTGTAATTAGTATTTACTTAGCAGACACAACCTCAATGACCACAACTTTTCTTTGCCTAATCTCTGCTGAAAGAGAGCTTTCAGCACTGAAGTCATTCTTTGTAATTATAACATTTTACATTCCTGTAGCTAGTCCTGTCTCTAACAGTTCTGATAAACAGGAATTCCTGAAAGGGGAAAGAAGGGAATGATGTTGCCATTACTGCATACCAAACTTTTTTGTCCAGTTATTTATGTAAAGTGCATATCCGTGTTTTATGAGAGAAAGAGAGGGGAAGAGAGGGAAAGAGAAGAAAGGGGAGGGGGAAGGGGAGGAGAAGGAAGAGGTAGGGAAAAGTAGGAGGAGAGTAAAGAGAAATGGGGCTAGCAAAGAAGAAAGAGGCTGAGAGGGGAAAAGTTGGTAGGAAGATAAGAGGAAGAGGAAAAGGAGACAGGAAGGAGAGAAAAAGATAACAGAAAGGGGGAGAGAGTAAAGGGAGATGGGGTGGGGGAGGGGTAAACAAAAGGATTCATTGGGGGAGAAAAAGAGGAGGAGGTGTCAAAGCCCCCAATGATTATTAGCACATTGTTGGGGTGGAGGAAGGTGGCAGAAAAGAATGCTATCCCTATAGTAGAGTGTTTCCCAAAGTGTGGAAGCCTACCCCCAGGGGTACGGGAAGAGTTTGGTGGGGGCACGCATTGCACCGGAGCTTGGTGGGGATATGCACTGCACTGTGCTTAGCTGCACCTAATTCTATGTTCTCATGAGTACGAGGGGTACGCAGCATTACGAAAATTATAGACATATGTCAAAAGTTTGGGAAACACTGCTATAGTAGAATGTGTTGCTTTTTTGAGAGCTAAGCTATCGCAAGAAATCTTCATAGTCAACTACTTTGGGTTAGCCTTAATAGATCAAAATTAAAAATGGCCAATCTCTATAGAAAATTTAGATTTTTTAAATGTCTAAATAAAAAATCAAAAAAGACACTGTTTTATCATTGAAGACCGATTTTCCTCACAAACATCAATGTAAATTTTGCTTTTGTGTAAGTGATTCAGATACTTTCTAAGTCCTCTGATTATATCCATCTAAATGCATTTTTACTAAACTAATTGAGACAATAGTCAACCTCAATGAAAAACAAAAGTACAAAATAGAGAAATTCAGTATGTAACGTAAACGTACATATGGCATTGCTTCCATCTCTGAAAACATTCCCTTAAGACATGTGGTAAATGGCAACATTTCATATGGAGGCAAATTTTTTAAAAACAAAAGTAAAAAAAATAAAATCAACAAAGTCATTGTGAAAAAAGTTTGGTAAGAGTAAAGGCGATAAATTACCGTCAAATAAAATTTTAACTATTTGAACATTTGGTCAGAAAAATAAAATTTGTATGTTTCAACTCCAAAACTGAATCTGTAGATCCAGGCTCTAAAACTGTCTTCCTTGTATTTAAATTACTTAGAGTTTCTTAAGAGGGGTCACCGATGCCTACCATCTATTGTTTTTTATTAAGGGCATGCTAACCCTTCTTGACAGATTAGAATCACAAATCATCTATCTCATTTTTTTAAGATAATGACTGAACATTAGTCACGATTTTCAAAACACACAAAAACACAAGCTTTCACTTCAAAGGGAGTTCACCAGTTCTCAGTAAGTGAAAATTAAAATGTCATGGTGCTTCACTCGCATAGACTATTCAAACATTTGATAGACAAGCTAAATAAAAAAAGAATAAAGTCACGAAGTAAACCAAGACAAAAAGAGTTCTTATAATGGTTGAAATGTTGTGCAGACATTCCTCAGAATAGACTTCAGACCACACAGCACTGCCTTCTTTAAATAAAAGAGTCTTCTCATAAGAAAATTTAAGATGTATACAAAGCAAGATAAGACTGAACATGCTAGTGAAAATGTGGAGTTTTTATTAGCAAGTGAAATCTGTACTCTATAATTTGATCAATTTATTTTATTTTATTAATTTATCCACTTATATCTTATCATTAATTTTTCCACTTAAGTCTTAAAATGTGCAACATATTATGTTTAAGGAATTGCTAAACTTATGGAGACACAGCTTAGTAAAGATAATCTGAGATATTTAAATGTAAAATTTAAGAACAAGTGAAACCTAACTGTGTAGACAGTAAGGATGCTGAGGCCTCATTTTATTAATAAGGATGCTAAATATAGAGATTTGGCACTAAGACGCTATAGTTAGTGGAAGACTTAAAAATAATCTTTAACTGGATAGAAAAATGTAGTTTAACTTACACATACCTTTTTAAAACACCTAAAGCAAGAACTGCCTGTCATTGATCTTACCTGTCATTACTGAAGCAAAAGGCTGTTGAGGATCAAAAGGACATTTCAGTCTGCCGGACTCCAAATTGTGTGTGTCTAGTTTGAACATAACTTCCTGTTATGAGAAATATTAACACAAGTGAGATTTCTTAAGAATATCAGAATCAGCAAGAACATAGGAGATAAGAACTAATACTTAACTCATTAATTCAACAAAAACTGATTGAGCATATATAGCATGTGCATCATGCTGTGCTCCTTAACTCTTTAGCAAATATTATTACTGGCAAGACTCAATCTCCATGTTTTGGTCTCTGTTTGCCCAAAGTAATAATAATAATACAGGATGAATTTTTCTGTCAGATGTACTAAAATACTCATAAATGTATTTAGTCTGGACCACTATCATTATCAATATCACCATCAAACACACACATTTCTTAAGTTTAATAAGTAATCTGTTGAGCTTAGCAAGCCAATTTCCTCATCTAAGAGATACATTTACTATAATATTTATTCTTCCATAGATATTATGATCTATTAACCTAAGCATCTGCAACTATTCCAAGTTACTTAAGCCTTGTTGTATTTTGTAATTTTAGTGACATAAAACGTTCTAAGGTAGGAAGTTCATTTTCATAGCTGTTGATGCATGTGGGCAAAAAATATCCTGTTACAGTATTTTCACTATTATGAAAACACTGTACACATTAAAAGCCACATAGTTATTTTGGCTGAAACATCTGTTTGTACAATAGTGGCCACAGACACTGAATGACATTGGCATATTTTAATATTCAGGAAAAAATAACATCTTAAGTTGAACTCTCCAAGAAAAATATGAATGTATAATGAATACGGTCCCAGGAGCTTGAAGGTTTCATAACAATGACAACACGACCCTACTGCAAAAGGCTGATGACTCACCCTGCCTAGGCACTAGAGAAATTCAGCATTTCAGACATTCTCTCTAGATGGTGTAGCTACAGAGTTGTATCAGAGCACACATACATTTGTCATAAAGAAGGACCATTCAGTGCTACTTATCTAGAAAGTAAGCAATGAAACAAAAGGGATAGAGGAACTGGATTATTTATTGTTATTGTATTATCTGCCATGTCAGATATTTTTCTTATGAACAAGACCAACAGTAGCTACTGCCTTTAAAAAAATAGCAATAGTAATTTAAATAGCATGATTAACAATTGTTATTCTACAGTTCCAAGTAAATGCATTTAAATATTAATAGTAAGATACCTAACAGTTAACCATGGGCCAGAAACTTTATATATGTTGTCTCAGTTAATCCATACCATAAGCCTAATAATGAAGGTACTCCGAGAATTCCAACTTTACAAGAGAAATATTGAGGATGGAGGGATTAAATACCTTGTTCAGCATCACATAGCTAGTAAGAATTAAAGCAGTAGTTCATACTTGGGTTGTCTCCAAAGTTCACGTTTTTAACTAAGGTAGTCTCAAAATTCAAACTCATGAACTTAAAATGTGTTGAAATCAATTTATAGTAGCCTCACAGTGACCATATAAGATGGTCAAGCCCAAGTATGTTTAATTAGACAGGTCAGCTAATGGCAAGCTATGAGAGCAGAGGCTAGACATGAAAAAAAAAAAAAGTCTAGTGCGATTATGTTTAGGGCTACTTTCCAACTGGGGATGAGGCTTAAGGTGTGTCAGGAAAAACACACCTGTAGATAGTGGCTCTTAAGTATGTTTAAGTATCGTTAAGGGAACATTATTCTTCACAGATCAAACAGAAGTGCTGACTCTAAAGCCTATAATAGGATATTGTAAAGGGGGAAAGTAAGCTGAATCCTGCTATGGCAGAAGATCAGAGTGAAAAGCTAAAAAAAAAAAAAAAATTTTTTTTAAAGGAACAAGAAAATATCTGAGAAAATGTCACATTTGATGCAAAGTACTAAATACTCCCTTATAATTGTACAGACTTCTGTTTTTAAAATGCAACATTTCATTAAATTCTCAAGATAAGCCCGTAAAATGGGTATTTGTACAGGCTGGGGACAAAGCCTCCTTTATAATCTCCGGGAGAAAGAAGATAGTGAGGAAGCAAGTTTCACTGGGCCAGAGTCAAGGATACCAACAGGAAAATGATGTAAAAAAAAAAAAAAAATGGCTGATTAAATGGACTGCCTCAGATAAACGGACTGCTTCACATGGCACTCTAACTTCTGAGACAGCTTCAACTTCATAAGATTTCCCCCCCCACTTAATTCCTTAATTTAATTATTTTTGCAAAAAGCATCTATCGAGGCTGCACACTGAAATATTGTTGAAACAAAGCAAGAGTGATAGGAAATATTTAATCATAATTAGGCAAAGTTTTTATTAACACTTTTCCCATTTAAAGATGAGATTTACAGCAGGAGAAGGAAGATAGAATATACTTCCAATATAATTATTTAACAGCTATCAGGCACTCCAAGTTTTACAGAATACATGTATATGTATATGTATATGTATATGTAAATGTATATGTATATACCTATGCATATGTACAGGTATATGTATATGCATGTGTATATTATATATAGCAGACATTAATATAATACTTTATAAATCCTTGCCTTTGTACTTTTCTGTGTTTCTGTGGGCTGTTATGGCTGAGTATTAAGTGGCTGGAATGAAACAAGTGCTATGCCAAAGCCTATACTATAATTTTCTCATTTTGTCCTCAAAATTACTCTGTGAGGTAGTTAGTATTACTATCATCGTTTTGCTGAATAAACAGAAGCTTGGAAAGCTTATGTAGTGTGCATAAGACCATAGAGCTGGTAGGTGCCTACAGCCATAATTCAAACTCTGGCTCCTCCAGCTCCAGTGATTAGTTGTTGACAGCAGCCCTGACTTCTGTCCTGAAATCCAGATCCAACTTCCCACTGGCATGACCTACTGACCATTTCTCCAATGCAGTACGGACAAAACTCACCAGTCTCCCCACAAACTTGTTACTATCCTCACTTCAGTAAATAACACCACTCTCCAACTCACTGCCAACCACAGAAATCTGGGATTCATTTGAGCTTTTTGACCCTTCTGCCCATTGCCCCAGCTGCACTGAACATGAGTCCCCAGAAAGGGGATTTCCCATAATTCTCTTCTCCATCCTTTTTATATATTAGTTCCCTCTTCTCAGTCACCTGCAGAGCAACCTTGTCTATCTTGAAAATAGAAGAGCCTTTTAAATTCCATCTGGAAGAACAATGAATTCCTAGCGCTAATAATTCATTCACAAAGTTAACAATCTTCAAGTAGGGCTGACTACAATTACCTGTACTCCTGACCAGCAGCAACCTTGCAAGGCTCCCTACCCCTGCGCACTCATAATTCTCTTATTCTCACAGAACTTGTAAATTTCACTGCCCCTGGGCTTCTTGACAGTCCGAAGCTAAATAATTAGCTCCATCTAAATTCCTTTTCATCACTTGTGACTTTTAGGAGCTAAAGAACACTCTCTACATCCTTCAGCAGGTTGTGAGTTTGGCCTTTAGCCTCAGGCCTCAAAACACATCCAAACTGTGGGGCTATCTCATATAATTACACCCTGTGCTGTGAGCTACTATTATACATTATCCTTCCTCAAAGCTAGCCAAGAGAACATTACACAAGGAACAAAGAATGATGGATTCCAGTTGCCAAGTCTCCTAGTGGTTCAGAGATTTAACTATCAGGGTTGCTTTATTTTCAAGCAGTTGAGTCTGGGCTTGGTTAGACAAGTTGGTTAGAGAGGAAAACTTATCCAGCCAAAGTTGTGAGTTTGGTTTCTGCATGGATCAGTTAAATCAATATAAAGAAACCTCTTCCAAAAACTCAGACTTTAATATCAATCATGCAGCCAATTATTCTGCAAATATGAGTGGTTACTCACAAGAAGTATATATATATATAAACATAAGGATGAGAGTGAAACCATCAACCTATATAAGGATACGCTTTAGAGTACAGGTTCCGAAAGCAGAGTTGTGCATGCTTGGCCTAGAGAGAGAGTGCTTTGGTTCAGTTCCTTGCTAGAGCATTTATTTGTTGGGTGATCTTGGCCATGTTATTTAATTCCATTGAGACTCAATTTTTAGTAACTTATAAATTGGAAGTGATGAAGATACTAATTTCATTATGAGTGTCGTGAAATTCTAAGAACAAAATTCATATAAATGTGTGGTACAATCCATGATACACAAAAACCCTAGATTAGTTATTAATTAAATTTCTGAAATATGTCTTTTTCTCATTTACTGAAATGCTCAGAGAGAGCTCTTATACATTACTCCTAATTAATATGATACTTTATTTCCACTATGTCAATTTGGTCCAGCAAAAATAATAGATTCGGTGTGCTAATATGACTACCTTTATACAGTTAGTACAAAATTATTCCACTTTCTGTACTTAGTGTCTGCCATTATAAACATAACGGGTCAAATTTGTTGAATGGGACAAATGAAATTTCTTAAAATACACAATTCCATGGCAAGGTCTTGTGGACAATGGATTTTTACCAATAGCAACATATAAAACAGATCTAGTTGTAAAGGAACTTCAAAAAAAATAAAGACATACATAGAGTCCATAGAAAACATATACTTTCAACATTTTGCACTATTAATTTTGATCATCTCACTAAAAAACCCAAATTTTTAATAGAACAATTTTTATTAGATAAAGTATATAATCAAAATGGCAAGTCATAAAGTGGTTAGGAACATGAGTTCTTATACTGTACATAAATAATATGACTCCATGTTTCATAATAAAGTATCACAATAAATTGTTTTCAAGCAATTTCATTATATTACCTCTTTGTAGACTCCAAGATCAATATATCCACATATTGGATGAAATGCTCCAGTTCCGCACACATAAATGTGAGTTTTATTATAGGGTTGAAGTACTCGAATGAAATTTGCACATTCTGTCTATTGGATATAAAAAAATAAAAGCATTAGCATACAATTTAAGTTTTTGAAAGATGGTCATTCATGCTACCTGCTTTTCAAGTAGATAAAACATCAAAAATAAGGGAAAATGAAAAAGATTTATGATAAATGTTTAGACACCTGACTTAGCAAGAAGGTAAGACAAATTAGAAACTGGCTTAAGTTACTGACTTTGAAACTTTTTGAAATTTTAAAGGTTTGAAACTGTCAGAGCGCTAGAATGTACATCTCTACAGTGGTACTCAGTGAGGTCTGTAGAATAAATACACATAGAATACAAATGAGGTATCAATACTTTCTTTCAAGAATTACCTAGAGATCAAAATTCATCATGTTCTGATGTTCACATATTGTTAACCATATAGATTCTGCTGTTTGCAACATAAACTGTCTCATCTATACTGAACAGATGTGTATTCCTATACATGTGTTCCATTTTTACTAGCTAGAATGCCCTATCATTTTATTACGATATTTCCATTTATTTTCTTCATATATATACATATACATGTGTGTGTGTGTGTGTTTCCATGAATATTTTAATACAAAGTCCAAATTTTACTTTTTTTTATAAAGATTTTATGACTGACTTGATCTTTCAGAGAAATTTTTAAAAAATATATTTTATTGATTTTTTTTTTTTACAAAGAGGAAAGGAGAAAGATAGAGAAACATCGATGAAAGAGAAACATTGATCAGCTGCCTTCTGCATACCCCCCCCCACACACACACTGGTATGTGCCCGTAATCAAGGTACATGCCCTTGACTGGAATCAAACCTGGGACCCTTCAGTCTGCAGGCCAACATTCTATGCACCGAGCCAAACCAGCTAGGGCCAAAGTCCCAATTTTAAAGAAAACTTTGTATTTCTAATTGTTTTGCATATTCTTAGATCCCAAAATATTTCTTTATATTCTCATTATCTTTATAATAATTATTCTACATTCCCCAGTTACTTAAAAATAGTTACTCAATTGTTAGTCATTTTGTTATTATGTATAATTTTCAATTTATCTCCCAAAGTGACCTCTTATTATTACAAAATTATTGGAAACAATTTCTTAATTATGGCCTCATGATTTTTGGGTCCAAAGAGAAAATACTGGGCTATCACGTTTTTATTCTTGATTGATTCTACCCAAGAGATGGGCAAGAATTTACTAAATGGGAAACCTATGGAACCACTGAGGTTCTTTATTCCTATCTGGATGGCCCTGGGTTCTTTACTGGTCAGGCACTGGCTTATGGCACTGTTGTTTTGGGAGTTGTTAGGAAGAAATTAAAATACACACACACACACACACACACACACACACACACACACACAACTTACCAATGACCTAATTAGAGTGGTGGGATGGTTCTTAGAATTAAATACATTTTAAAAGGCAAACAACAGCTTATTAATAAAATTGTTACATGGTTTAAATTAATACTATAATATTTAATAATTGCTTATTATTGCCCTGTGTTAAATATCAATATCCAGGTGGCTCTTTTGCTTTTAGAGTGAATAGCTATGTCTGCATACTGTGATAGAGTACCCATCCAGCTACCCTGGCAATTTTATGTCTCCAGAATTTGTAGATCCCAGTTAATAAAATCTGCACCTTTTATCACAGTAAAATGTTACAGTGAACACACTGAGTCTTCTGTCCTCTGCTTCCTTATAAACAACACAGTTGCTTAAGATGACAGGAAAGGACAATTAATAGTCCCTCAGCTACATGAGTAAAGGGTGTTTCTTTATTGGGTAGGAAGAGGCAGCCTCTCTAATAGGAGCAGGATAACTGAATGTGGTTGCTTAGATTGTATGCTGAAAACAAAAAAGAGAAAGAGAGAGAGAATGGTCACATCTAAGGGTGTGCAAATCACACTATGGACATTTGTATTATCTTGGATAATTTCATGTATTTATCCATGTATATGTTTTCCTATATTTATTATATGTAGACTCTGAAAAACTTAACATTTTACATTAAGACAACTTTCTGGCATGTAGTCTTATTTTAAAAAATCATATTATGTCCGTTTTCACCTTCGTGCCAAGGTGTCTGATGAGGAGAACTTATTTTCCATTTGCATAAAGGAACCGTACGAAACCAGCTTCATGTTCTTTAGTATCATGGTAGGCAATTTCAATAAAAAATCTAACTCAGAGAGCAAATATGACATATGAATGGTTTTGAACAAATAATGGGGACAAAGTAATATGAGTAAACTAGAGGCTCAGTGCATGAAATTCATGTATGGTGGCAGGGGAGCAGGATCCCCTCAGCTCAGCCTGCACCCTCTCCAATCCAGGACCCCATGGGGGATGTCTGACTGCCAGTCTAGGCACAGCCTGCTATTCAGTCATTTGGTCATCCCTCACTAACCCCAGCCTGGTCTCCCCACATGGCCTGCTTGTTCAATTGTTTGGTCATCCTTTGGGCTGGCCCTGTGTAGCTGCGTGTGCTGAGTGGATTGGGAGACTCCAGAGGCAGGTGCATGGAGTGGCCAGACCCATGTGGGGGCGTGCCCAGCTGTGCCACATACCTGCTGTCCCTGCATGGCTGAGGGGACTGGGTGTCACCATCTTGTGGCTGTGGGTACTTCTATCTTTGGCAGTCAATTAGCATATTCCCTCTTTACTACAAAGGATATGTATGGATCACTAGATAAACTATAATGTGGCTTCATTGTTATTGTAAGAGGTTTTAATGTCTCTTTATTTTGTTCACTAATGTACACTGAGGGGACTGTTATCTCTTTGTCTTAACCCCTGTAAAGAGATTCATGCAGGGTGAGAGCTACACAAAGACAAGCACATAGGGAGGGCAAGTGTAGAATTATATGGCTAAAGTGAGGTAGGATTGACTCACTACCAGTTATTGCATCTTTTTTTTTCTCTTCAAAAAGCTCAATTTTGCCAAATAATCCTATAGTTAAAAGGTAATTGTTATGGACTGAACATCTGTGTCCTCCAAAAATTCATAGGTTGAACCCTAACTCCCCAGTGTGATGGCTTAAGGACATATTAGGAGATGGGGCCTTTGGGAGATAATCCATTTATGATAGTCCTCAGTGACCTACTCTCATTGCCCTATCCCAAATATCAATCTCCTGGTGGCTCTTTTGATTTTAGAGTGAATAGCTATGTCTGCTATTCATGAGAATAGGATCCTTAGGATGGGATTAAGAAGAGACTGGGAGCTTTCTCTCGCACTCTCTGCTTTGTAAAGATACAACAGGAAGATGGCAAACAAAAAGAGACTTTTCACCAGAAGCCCAATCAACCAGCACCTTCATCTTGACCTTCTCAGTCTCCAGAACTGGCAGAAATAAATGTCTGTTCTTTAAGCCGCTCAGTTTACAGTGTTTTGTTTTAGTAGCCTAAGATGAATAAAAACATTAACTTTACAAGATTCTGAACTAAATATTTGTATAAAGGAATAAAACAATTCCCTTTCTAGCTTTTAAATTATGGAGTCAGAAAGATTAAGGACGCTGAGAGACACAGCACTGTTTACAGGGGCAAATAAGGCCCAGAGTAAAGTTTTATACACATAAGAGATGAAATTTTAGCCCTGGCCAGTGTAGTTCAGTTGGTTGGGCATATTTTTGTGCACCAGGAGGCTGCTGGTTCCATCTTAGTCAAAGGCACATGTCCTGGATGTAAGCTCCATCCCCAGTAGGGGGCATGCAGGAATCAAACTATTGATTTTGTGCTCTCACATCAATGTTTCTCTCTCTCTCTCTCTGTCTCTCTTTCCCCCCAAATCAATAAACAATTCCAAAAACAAAACAAAAAAAAATGAGGTAGTTTTAGTGATTATAAAGAAAAAGCTCCAAATCACACCAAAAACATTTCACATCCTTTAACTTTTTTAAAAAATCTTTTTAAAAAATGTTTTTATGAGAGAGGAAAAGAAAGAGAAAGAGAGAAACATCAATGTGAGAAGTATCCATAGGTTTCCTCCAGAGCACATCCCAATCAGAAATGGAAAATGAAGCCTGGGTATGTGCCCTGACCAGGAATCCAATCAGCATCCTTCTGAGGCACAGAACTATGCCCAATCCACTGAGTCCCATGGACCAGGGCCCATATTTTAATTTTTCCAGGAGTACTTAATTAAAATGCACTCAGCCCAGGAAATTGACCTATTATGCTAGTTTCTGACTTGGTAAACTATTAGCAAGGATTTATTTGTGAAATTCCTCCCCTGTCTCAGATCGGGCTGATGTGGAATGGGGCAATGTGCGGATGGGTCCTGAGTTACCAGACATAGTTTCCAAAAAAGTCAGCTCTGTGCAAACTTCTTTGTACTGAAGTTGATGAAGGGCGGTTCCCTAAGCAGCCTGGAGGCAATGGAAAGGAACTGGCAGCCAGAAGGAAAGAAACCTGGGAAACAGAGATCCTGAAAGATAAGGTCTTGTAATTCAGAATTGCCTGGGTGGACATTTCAGCCAAACCAGTGATGTGAGGCAAAACCTTTACAATGGTTTCCCCTTTAATTTGTAACTTATTTTTTTTTTTTTGTCTCAAAGATTGTGTCGTATTTTTAATCCTTTTTGTGCACAGAGCTTCCAATGTTTTGTTTAAATAGCACAAGCAATAATTAACTTGATTTAATTCACTTAGTGACTTGCAGTGTGGCTATTAATGGTAGCATAATCCTGTGAGGCATGAAGAAAGATAATTTCGAGAAGCTGCTTTTTCAACTTTTCCTGAAAGCTGGCTAACTTGTCAGCTATTGCCCATAATGGCAGGGTTCTTGCATGTGACCAAACAATGCAATTTACTGAGTAATATACTCATCTTTGGGAATGTATTGAATTTCTCCTTCCTTCCCTTATTCCTTCTACTGATTCCCCTTCCTGCCTACCTCCTCCCCCAAGTGGAAGAGAGAGAAAACAAGTCATCAACTTTTAAAAATTATCTCGAGTAATATGTTTTTCAATACTTTACCTCTCACATATATCCACACGTTTATAT